CCAGGGAGAACAGTCCCAACTTCTGCAATCCACCCTCAACGTCGAAGTTCCTCATTCCTTCAGCCATCATTGTGAATCACTTATACACTCTCCCTCTCTAATACATTCACATTTTCTCATCCCCTTATTCTGCAACTGTGCCCCTTAGTTTCACATTCCCCAACTCGAGGAAGCAAATTCTGAATCACAAGATTGTTAGATCCCCATTGCGTCTGCACTGACACATCAAATAAACATCAATACCTCACGCCAATCTCTTTCTTTGTCCCCTACACTAATTCTTTCCAAATAACTATCCAATGCCCCTCCAGAAGGCCTCAATTGAACCTGCCTCCAGCACATTTCCAGGCAGTACGTTCAACATCCTAACCACTCACTTGGTGAGAGCAATTTTTCTCACATCACCCTTCCTGCATTTGCACCTCACTTTTATTCCATGGCGCTGTCGTTCTGTTCCTTTTGAAAGTGGGAACAGCTCCTCCCCATCAACTCTGTCCAGCTTGCTCCTGGTATTTCAAAACCTCAAACAAATCTACTCTCAGCCTTCTTCTCTCCAGGGAGAACGGTCCCAACTTCTGCAATCCACCCTCAAAGTTGAAATTCCTCATTCCTTGAGGCATTATTGTGAATCACTTCTACACTCTCCCTCTCTAATGCATTCACATTTTCTCAACACCTACCCTGTCAAGCCCCTCACAAATTTACAGGTTTCGACAAAATCATCTCTCGTTCTGCTGAACACATTTTTTAAAAAATTTATTCACAGTATGAGGTATCACCAGCTAGGCCAGTATTTATTGCCCATTCCTAAATGCCCAGAGGGCAGTTAAGGAGTCAACTTGATGGAATACTCCCCACTTGCCCTGGATGGGGGCAGCTCCAACAACACTCAAGAAGCTCGACACCATCCAGGACAAAGCAGCCCCCGCTCGATTGGCACCACATCCACAAACATCCCACTTCCTCCCCCACCGACGCTCAGTAGCAGCAGCGTGTACCATCTACAAGATGCTCTGCAGAAACTCACCAAGACTCCTCAGGAAGCACCTTCCAAACCCACGACCACTTCCGTCTAGAAGAACAAGGGCAGCAGATACATGGGAACACCACACCCTGCAAGTTCCCCCTGCTGTGGGTCTGGAGTCACATGTAGGGCAGACCAGGTAAGGATGGCACTTTCCTTCCCTGAAGGATATTTGTGAACCAGATGGGTTTTTCCCAACAATCGACAATGGCTTCACGGTCATCATTAGAACCCCTAATGCCAGATATTTATTGAATTCAAATTCCATCATCTGCCGTGGTGGGATTCGAAACTTGGTTCCCAGAATGTTATCTGGGTCTCTGGATTAACAGAGAAAGCAATAATACCACTGGGCCACTGCCTCCCCTTATTGAACAAAGGACTAACATGTTGAGCAGTTCATTCAGAGAGAGTAAGAACTGCCGATGCTGGAATCAGAGATAACACAGCGTGAAGCTGGAGGAACGCAGCAGGCCAGGCAGCATCAGAGGAACAGGAATGTTGACGTTTCGCATTGGGACCCTTCATCGTCAACTTTCCTGCTCCTCTGATTCTGCTTGAGCAGTTCATTACCCATTGTTTAAAAACAGATAATCAAGACTTGGCACTCAATGGTGCCGCACCCAGCAAAAAACGCATCTTTTGAAGAAAAAGTTGGTAAGGTGACCATATAGGGGCTATATTATCAAGTACGGTATGGATTAATGCAGGTTAAGTCTAAATCCATGTACTTGAGGAAGATTAATAAAATCTTACATTGGGTTAAGCAAGTCCATCTGGAAGAAGTGGGAATAACATAGCTAAATAGTGAGATTTCCATGTAATTAATTTATTCCCATTCAAGGAAGGTTTACCCAGCTATTACCTTTGAGTTTCTCTGAAACTGGAATACCGTTGACCCCTGGTAAATGTGACTTCAGACAAAGCTACGGGGATCTCAAGGCTATGAGAGCAGCACAGACCGTAGAGACGAGATAGCACACCTTCTGAGAAAATAAGGAGGGAGATGTCCCAGGAATGTACAGCGTGGAACGTGTGAAAGACAAGGTGGTCCGTGCAAAGCTGATCCAGTTGCAATTGCAAAAATGCACCCTCCATGCGATTTACGATGCATAAATAGCTGAGGATTCTTGCTGATTCCAGAGAGCCTTCTCTCAACACATCGGCAAAATAAATGATCATGAATGGGTCCCACGAGTTTATTTTACGAAATAATCCCTTTCTCTGCAGCCTCTTTGAGCATTCTGTACCTGCGCCTGCTCATATTTCTTGCGTTCTTGAATTGATGCTGTAGTGGTTGGCTTTGGTAAGAATGATTGTCTAGCCCCTACAGAAGAGCAGTGGCTCAGCGGTTATCACCGCTGTGTCACAAAGCCAGGGATCTGTGTTCACTAGCCCCCATCCCAAACCCTTTGGGTAACTGTCTGTGTGGAGTTTGCACAATCTTCCTGTGTCTGTGTGGGCTTCCTCCCACAGTCCAGGCTTGTGCAGGCCAGGTAGATTGACCATGCTAAAACAGTCCAGGGACATGCAGGCTAGGTGGGTTGGCTGTAGTAAATGAAAGGGATAGGACTGGATGGGTCTGGGGTGGGGTGCTTCTCAGAGGATCGGCACAGATGCGAATGGCCCCCTTTTCTGCACCGTTAGGGATTCTCGGAGTCAGCGACGTTGCTGTGGGGCTGGAGTCACACGTAGGCCAGAGCATTGATGTATTTTGTATCTTTTCATAGTCACCACTGTAGATACAGCTACGTTCCAGAACTATTCACTAAAAGTCATCCATCGATTGAACTTAAACTGCACCAACCAGAGTCTCTGCCACAGAGCAGGGTTTCTGCTGTGCGAGCTCAGGAATTCTTGGAATGGCGCCCCTTGTATCGGTACCTCTGCACAACATGGGTGTCCAAAGTACTCACCTGCAAGCTTCAACACTGTTTTGCTGGAAAAGCTCCCGTCTGGATACGTCGTCCAGGAGCACTCATAAGTGCCTGTGTCGTTTCTGCTGAAGTTTCTTATCACCAGTGTGGCGTCCTCTACCGAAGGATTTTGGAAGTAAATGCGACTCGAGTTCTCCTCCCCTGGGTAACTGACCCCATGCTCAGGATGGTACACAGCAATGTTACTGTGGTTTGGATCCTTCCAGGTAATAGAAACCACTTTCACATTTGGATCAGAAATGGAGAGGTGACACGGAAGGGTCACAGTTTGTTCCTGATAGCCCGAGATGGAGGCTGAAGTGTGCACAGTCACAGCAGAGTGAGCTATTAAAAACAAACAGAGAAAATTGAGTCAAGTGCACCATTTCTGTTTCTTTTTTGGTTGAATTCCTTATTCATTCTGCAGTCAATATTTAGAATATTACAGCGCAGTACAGGCCCTTCGGCCCTCGATGTTGCGCCGACCT